GAGCGGGACCCGTGCGCATTACCGGGCCGCGGGTCTCGCTCGGAGGCGGAAGTGCCTGACGGGCCTCACACCTCAAAGCCACTTTCTGGCGAAATTACATTGTGTTGATTGAGGGGTTTAGTGTTTGCTTTTTAATACGGAACTAGTCTGTGGTGAGACTTTTAGGGCTGATGGGAAGTTTGACAGACGCGGAGAGCCGCGCTCGGGAGGCGCGGTCGTCATGGAAACAGTGACACCCACTCGTGTCGAGGCCAGAGCCTTCTTCGGCCGTGTCACTGCCACCCGCCTGGAGTTTTGGCCGAAATGTCAAAACCTTTGGCGATGTGATCTGCAGTTTGCCACTTTGATGCTAGGTCTTTCTTTTTCTTTTTTCTTTTTCCGTGTTTGATCTTTCGAGTTGAACTTTGAAATACATGGTTTACCTTCTTGGCGACCTTCTGGGGCTCAGAATGGTGTATTTGCTGTCATTTTCGGGGTGCGGTTGGGGAACATCCCGGTCAGTACGTCTTGTTGGGGTGTCCTCCTCACGTTTCTCGTTTTTAGCTGGCGCGTTCGTGAATGACAATGACTGTAATCCACAGATGGAAGGCTGTCGGAAGCCCGACCCCAGAAAGTTAGTTTCCGCACATCCCGCCCCACCCCCGCCCGGCTGGAGCTTTCGTTCTGTGTCAAGTATGTCCACCTCCTGCTCCTGTGCCTCCCTCCCCACTGTTCTCTGGCTCCTGGGGTTTCTTCGGACATTTACTCCGTTTTATAATGTTACTTAGTTATCTTTTTCTTTATAATCTTCCTTTCCTGGTAGTCTGTGAGCCCCACGAGGACCCGAGTGCAGCCTATCTGTTAGGAGCCCTGTGTTTCACCGTCCCTGTGGGGACTGTTGAGCAAGTATTTGCCACGTGGATGAATTGGAGAATGAATGTTTTCTTTACGAGCCCCTTTGCTCTTTTCTGTGTACATTTACAGCTCTGTGGTCTAACAGTAAGACTGGAACCAGGTAGCATTCTGCTGTCCCTTTGTCCATTTAAGGGTTAGGCCCTGCGAGCTTCGTGAGTCTACAGTAGGTGAGCACTGAGTAGGTGGGCACCATTTGGACCCACTATTGTTTAACCGTTTCAGTTTTATACTTTTTCACTGCTTTAGAAAACATTGCACCAAACATCTCTAGACACGTCTTGGTGTGCTTAAACCAATATTTCTGGAGGATAGATACTGCTTCAAGTGGAAATTACATATGTTTACAATTTTGATAGCTATTGCCAAGTTGTCCTCAAAAACGCTGGTACCGTTAGTAATGTATGAGAGTACCCCATTTCCCATACACTTTCTAAGAGTTTATTACTATATTTTTTATAATCTTGAGACAGAAAAATAGCTTCAACGTTGTAACTTATATTTCCTTTTGTGTCTAGTGAAATTATGTTTTCATACATTGTATTTATTTTTCTGCTTGCTTGTATCATTTGTATTTTTTTTGCGTGGTTGATCTCTCTCATTGTTTTAAAGAATTTTTTGTATATTTTTAATGTGTTTTTTTTTTCCGTAATAGTGTTGCCATGCCAAGAGTTCCTGTATGCTTTACTATTTTATGCTCCTTTGCTTTATTATTATTTTTTAAATTTTAACTTTAATTCCATACTAGAGGCCCGGTGCACGAAATTTGTGCACTGGGGGGGGGGGGGTGTTTCCCCCCCCCCACCCTCCCCCCTCTCAACTC